GTTAAATGGTCCGATCTGGGTGAATTTAGACTGAATTAGTATTAATTATTAACGTGTCTTCAACGTTTGTATTGTATAATGGTTTCTATTAAATTTTTTATAAATTGTAGATATACGGTAAGAGATAACTTTAATTTGATTATTATATACGTACGTATTAAAAGTAATCCGTTCAAAAAGGTAATTTTTGATTTATGTTAGTGGTTAAAGTAATGACACCTTTAAACGGCGAGTCGGTCGCTCCACAATCCGGGACGTCGTGTAACCTACGATCGGCTTAGGCGGTTATATTTGGCGAGTGGATTTACTGTCGTAGGTATGTCTTCTTACTTAAAACAGGAACACAGTAACGTCTCTACTTTCTATTCTCTATATCAAATACACAAAACCACGGCTTGGATCTTCCATTTGGACCTCAAACCGGAAAACTATAACTACAACTGTTCACGGTACGTTGGGAGAGTTGGAAAACTACGTCAGATCTCAGTACGTCGAGAATCAACCGGACAGCAATCTTCTACGAACTCATGTGAACAAGACAATTAACGAGCGAAGACCTTTCACCATGCCACTTAGTGATAGATCCGGGTTTAAATATTTAGTAGAGCGTATTTATTTAGGTACTTAAGTTTATATGGGTCAAATGGGTTAAATGTGTACTTTATTTGGGGAACGGTAATTGTAAGCAGCACGAAACTTAGTTATCAAGGGCCTTCGCGGCCTTTATTTATAATAAAGAATCGATATTACAATAAATTCGACAAATGTGATAAATTCAATAAATGTGATAAATTGCATTTGACCCGTGATCGTGGGTCGTACTGAGCCTCAGTAGATGAGTTGGATATAGTAGATAGACTTGGTAATCAGTCACACAAGCAAAAGATTCCGAAATTTACAATATTTGATTAGTATTAGATTCAAAGATTTTTTTTTTACTATTCACATTTTATAAAATATAGAAAGTCGCTTGATTTATTTAACAACTATAGGATCGAATTTAATTAACTCAAAATCGTTAAAATACATTGTTAATATTTTTAACTCGTTTAACAAAAAATTATAATTTTATTTACATTTAACAACAATTCAAATAACATATATTATAAACTTCGAATTTAAATTTAACCAAAGATTTTATTTACTTATTTTTATTACTTTATTTAAAAATAAAAAATTACAAAATTACAAAAAATTACAAAAATTACAAGCGAGATACTTGGTTTCGGAGACTAGTTCTCCTACTTGTCTCAACCACCACGTAGAGGTGTATCTCATGGTTGAGCCGTCTAAAAAATGATAATTTAAATAAAATAAAACTAAAAATATAAAAAAACATAAAGAAAGATACAAAACACTAGGAACCAAAAGCTTCTGAGAGGCGATAACTGAAAATAAAATAAATGTTGAAAAAAAAATGAAATAATAAAACAAACACAAAAAATAAAAGATACAAAACACTAGGAACCAAAACCTTCAAAAAGACGAAAACTGAAAAATAAAATAAATATTGAAAAAAGATGAAATAATAAAACAAAGAAAAAATAAGAAACGATAAAACACTAGGAACCAAACTCCTAAAGGACGAAAACTTCTAAAAGACGAAAACTAAAAAATAAAATAAAATATTGAAAAAAAATGAAACAAATAAAACAAAGAAAAATAAGAAACGACAAAACACTAGGAACCAAACTCCTAGAGGACGAAACCTTCAAAAAGACGAAACTAAAAAATAAAATAAATATTGAAAAAAGATGAAATAATAAAACAAAGAAACAATAAGAAACGACAAAGCACTAGGAACCAAACTTCTAACTTCAAGGGAGAAAACTAAAAAATAAAATAAAATATTGAAAAAAAAATGAAACAGATAAAACAAAGAAACAATAAGAAAACGACAAAACACTAGGAACCAAATTTCTATGGGGGCGAGGTGGCAAAAAAAGGGTAAAAGATGAGATTGGCAAAAAAAAGGAGATACTAATATATAGACGCGTTAATTTTGAACGTGTAGTTGTGACATAAGTTATTTGATATGTACTAATTTGGAAATTGATAATGGGAAATGTGATTACTGGGCGTTCCGTGATTATTAATGTGTGTTTCCCACGATGAGAAAAAAGGGGCGCCGATGAGTTGTATCTGGGGTATTCTGTAAAAAATTCATCTGAATGCTATCTTGAACGAGAAACGTATAGCAGGTATATCTCTAATCCTTGTAAATACCGATACAAGGCTTATCCAGCCACATTCTGGACATACAGTAACTACAAATTTATTAGTGCCCTTATTAATTTAGCAAAATCATAGCTTTAATAAATCGGATATCTTTTTCCTGTAATACAGTAATAACAGAGTAAAGGTAAATAGAAATCTCGATTATTTTGGCAAGCAAGCTCACAGTAATGTATGTTCGCGCGTTAAATTATAATATTCAAACTCAGTTCACGAAACATCATGCTTTGCTCTATATGCACTATATTTACTGTATATATTGTATAAGGTATATCAATATATATGTAGTATTAAGCGTCACTGAATGTACTTTAAATTCTCAATCGATAAGGAAAAAAAAAATAGCATTCTATATAAGGAAAATTAAAATATGCAACTTTCACCCGTATTGAGTCACAGCGATACATATTTAATAATGACGTTTTGTTTCGAAATTTCTGTTTATACTAGGGATCTGGACATTTTGTAAAGTTCCAGACGTCTTTTGGACCAAGCACCTCGTGCCTAGTAATTTTGACCAGGTCTTTACTAGAGGTGCAGGTGAATTGTCCCAATGATGCCGTAACTATATTAAATAATAACAAAAAGTTACGACAAATATGCTGTAACTTTTTATAATTATTTAATATAGTTACGGCACGTTGCGGCAAAGTTACGGCATGATTCACCTGCACCTCTAGTCTTTACACTTATAACACAAGGTACCCAACATGTGCCCTACAAAGTGCCCATACCCGTGTGTCTGTGCTCTTTGTTCGTTACATTTAAAATATTAGAGGCTACTAAATTCCTTAGACTAAACAATTGATTACCTTTAACAAACGCTCATCTTCACTATAAAAAATGATGAGGTGTAAAAATTTGGAATAACGTAGAAAAACTATACCAGAAATTCATTTCTTTATATCCGCAGAATTAAATCCAATCTCAAATGTTAATTATCATTTATCAGAATTGTATGTTGCTTTCTTAGCAGTTAATAGTAACCTATGCAATTTATATAATAGGCTTATCTAGCTATTGTAGATGAATGTTCTTATATATACATTATTTGTTATGAACCCTATCAATTCCGGCATATATATCAATTATAACCTTTGAACAATATGAATGAATGTTATTGATGAGAAGTGCAAAGAATCTTTTTTCAAGACAAGATTTAATATATGCAGAAATTAAAAATGTCATGCTTATTTCATATACAATGGCGCATGTTCTACGCGATTTAGCTGTATAAACTTTTAAATTGTAGCTTCAGATTCTAAAGATTATTTTGAAAATAACAAAATTGAAGTATAATTAACATTATAGATAGTAGTTGATTAGTGTCTCTCATAATTGATCAGTATTTCATTTACGTGATTTAATAAACAGGAGGAAACGTCGATGTTACGCGACTGATCCTTCACCCGATGTCGCAACATTAAAAAAAATTATTTTACAATACGCGGTATTGTAAAATAATTTTTTTATATGTTGCACACCGGGTGAAGGATCAGTCGTGTAACATCGACGTTTCCTCCTGTTAATATAATTCAAAAAAATTTTTTTATTTTAATTGATTTCTTGAAGTATCAGATTAATAGGGATACAACTTTTATAAACAAAATCAATGGGTGGAAGATGACTATTTAATAGTATTTGGATCAGGCTTCGACCAAACGGAGGCAGGGTTGGCCCATTTACCCATTGGGAGAATGGAGAATGAAGCCAATGGAAATTAAATGGATATATATACGTATTTTGAAATTTTTTTTTAAACAATATCTTGACAACTACTGTATTATGTAAATAATTTTTGACAGTAAATAACTTTTGAGCCACTAATCCCTTTTGCCCAAAATGTTCGTTTCAATGAGACGACTCTAACGAGTCTAAAACTGCTAAAATCCAATCACATCACAATCGTTAAAGATTATTTTAATAAATATATATTAATTTAATTTAAATCTTTAATAACCTTGGGATCCTATAATTGGATTTTACCTATTTTGAACTATGATTGCTCATTGAGGCTGATACGTAAAATCATCAAAACAGATCTGCGAATCAAAAGTTATTCATTGTTAGCGGTTATATATTTTTAATAGTAATTCTGCCCATGGATATTATACTGTATATGATTAACCAAATGGAATAATAATAAGTATATATATAGTATACTTCAATTGGCTCTAATTCCCTGGCTTCGATCTTGAATCCCTTTTTGAGAAGGAATAATCTAATATTTTGTCCTTGTCGTTGCTTTAGCAGAACCTACAGTATTTTAGAAATATATAGTTATACCCTCTCCTCCTCTATACTTATTCAACCTGATATTTTCGAATTCTATAAGCATGTAAGATTAGGAACATCCTCGAAAGACAAAGTTATCAAGGTTATAACTTAAAAATTGGAATGCTAAATTTTGTACTAAGATGTTTCAATAAATACCTACCCATTTCGATATTTAAATACTACGATTTTGGAGTCCACAAATTCGTATAATGTTCAGACTCTTCAGTTGACTTAGCTAGTAATCAAAGTAAACGAACTATATTATCGTATATAAATATAATTTATTTGACTTAACCAAAGTTTTTAAATACAAATTCTATTAAACTCGTACGTACTACATATTTGAATTACATTGTGGCGTAGTTAGTGGAGGTCTTTCCTTTTTTTTTTATTGTGTAAGCCAAACTTAAAATAGTATACAGTATATAACGGTGCGCAAACTTTATCGTTAATAATTTCTTTACATTTTCTAGTACTTAAAATTAAGGATGTCAGAAGAAAAAATACGTGTTGAAGTTTATGGGTCAAGTGTTCCCGGAAATATTTTTGTACGTAAATTATTTGACCCCTAACTTTATGATAGTGAACACTAAGTGTAAACTGTTGAGAATGTTGCATTTAAAGAATCTTATATTTAGAAGGCTTACTCTGATAGAATAACTTAATGCATTTATATTTAATTGGCTGATTAAAGTAATTTGCGAGAATTTTGCACTTAGAGAAAGTTCTCTGTAATGTCATTCTATTTTTTTTTTCATTCTTCATAAATTCTTTCATTTTATAATTGTAGGTTAAACAAAATCATATGTCTGTTGAATCAATATTAAATGCAAACAAAATTCCCTACACATTTGTCGATATTGCTGCTGATGAAAATCATTTAAAATATATGAAAAGAAAAAACGGTGGTAACAAAGACTTACCTCAAATCTTTGTCGATGGCGAATTTAAAGGAGTATGTTTATAGTTATTTTTATTTATTCTTTATTCTTTTATCCAACTTCATTTATATTAATTGTATTTATGACCTGACAGACTACAAAAGAACTTGAGGAAGCTGTTGAAATGAGAGAAGTAAGAGAGTTTTTGGGTTTGGAAAAATAGTCACTCTTCACAACATAAAACATTTTTTTTCCGTTCTAAAAAATCAAATTATATTATATACTTTATTATATCGTCAATTGTTTACAATGACATATGTACAAATTTATTAATATTGAATAAAGTATTCTTGATATATGATTGTATTAATTATAAGAAATTTAAACCCTAATAATATTGATTTTCCAATATATATCCTGATTCTGACCTACTCGTTCTGTTGACCCCAGGCCCAAAAGCTGGCGCTGGTGGTGTAAAATTTGCCAAATCCAAAACCATACGACCTCCAGGAATTAAAGCCTGAAGATCTGCTTTGCTTGGAACAACTTGAAATGTCACCTTTTTATTTATAAAATAAAACTTAATTATTGTGGACTTATTTGTGGATTTGTGTTGAAAGCTTTAATTTTAAAATCTTTCAATTCAATATAAAGAAATTCTTCTACCAATAACTTTGGAATTAGAAAAATTTCGCCTACATTGAGTCAAAAAATTTAAAGTCTTTTTGCTCCGTATTTATTTCATCAAACTCACCGTATCATTTATTCCAACATAACTATTATAGAGTTCATTTACTTCTGAGTACTCTTGCGCCGCACGCGCTGCGATCATGGGAGATTTACATTTAGTTAAAAGATGTAATACTTCTCTCGCTTCTGTGATAAATCCAACGGCTGTTCCGTTTTGTCTTTTGGACAAGATAAAATACTTTAGTACGAATATAAAATAATTGAAACCTTCAGAACAACTATACCCACTGATGGTCGTAAGCGTCTTTTGCCAAGAATTTCATTCCAAGTGACTGGCAACAAAGATAAATATTAATTAAAAAAAAAAAAAAAAGGAATAGTAAAAACCGAATATTCAAAATAAAAATAAATACCTGATGAAACAATACACCGTTCGACACATACTTTCGGAAATCACCACATACTTTTGTCGAATCTTTTAGACTTTTAATGAGTCCATTTGCCATTTCATAATTTCCTGCAACACCAATAGCCAATTTTGCAAGTAAAGATGATGATGTTTGCTGCATAAGGGCTTTGCGAATAGCAATTGATGATGCATCAGCGAAAGCAATCCTAAAGTAAAATATAATAATAAAAACTTTAACTGCAAATGATAATAATAATATTATGAACCAAGTTGGTACTTATTAGATTACTTTGATGTTGATGCTGATATTTCTGCTAAAACATCCGGGGGTCTAGACGGTGGTGGTTTAATCCATCTAGGACACACTTTCTCAGAAATATATGTGAAAACACCTGAAGCTCTACGTAATATATCCGCCGCCTTTAATTTATTATAAATCATTACCCCATCATATAATAAGATTAAATTCACAGTTCACTTACCTGTTTCAATTTAATATCAATTTCATCATTCTGTGGCTGTTTTTCTATAATGCTTGACGCCCAATTAGAACACGCGTACCCGTACGTCATAAGCGTGAAAATTAATTCATAATAAATCCCTCGACATACTACTCGTTTCTTTTTAAGAACTGAATCGCTAAGTGTACAACGCCATGATGTCTCTAAAAACAAACGATTTAAAATTATCCCAATGTTTTCAAAAACAAATAAAATATAGTCTCGAGCTATATAATATCTCACCAAATTCTTTTTTCAATTTCAGTTGGCCTCCTTCTAGACAATCAACAATACCAAGCAAATATGGCAAATAATCATCGACAGTCTGCTTGAAAATGATACTTAAATATCTAATAATTTTACTTAAGAAATGTATATACTTGATTCAATTACCTTCATAACCTTTGTGTAATCTTTCGGTCCTTCAGCTTTATTGGCCTCCTTCAAAACGGCACGAACACGACCTCTCTGAGCGGTTGCTTCGGAAATTTCATTTAGGTATAAATGGTCCTCGTCTAACAAAAAATCAGAAAATGAAATGGTTCCGGTAGTCGGAAGTGGATATATAAAACTCATTTTATCGTAGGATGCGAAAATAAAACTTCGATACTGTATTACAGTATTTACAGTACCGGTATTATTCATTGATTGTTGCACTGCATATAATTGTAAATCTTGTGCGCATATTCTATTTTTAATGGTTTTCCACGCGAGAACAAATTTTTTGCGATTCCATCAATCATTCAAATCCATTATACAAACTAACTCTCTTTATTTTCCTGAAAATATTAAAGTGGTGAGTTGACCGGCAACATTGATATATGCTACAAATTTCACGCGATTACATTTCGTTTGTTACTTTAAATTAAGGTTTTACCACAAATAAGAGAGTATGCGAGAAGGAGGAGGAGACACGCGGCAAAAGTAATTCCAGACAATTCTCTTCCATTTACTGATGCTGTATCATTGATTAAGGTATTTAACCAACCATTAAGCTTATTTATCTGCTACGTCACCTATTATAATTTATTATCATTTATTATATAGGCAGTTGAAGTAGGAAAACCGAATTCTACATGGGAATTACATGTAGAATTAAAATTGGAGAAAGGTGCGCCTCCAATTCGTGGATCAATCTTTTTACCAAGACCAATGTCAAAAACTAATAAGTTTTTGGTATTTGCAAAGGTAGGAAGAAAGTAAATATATTATTCTATATTACATAATTTGTAATTAATTAGTTTTATGAAAAGGGTGCGAAAGCACAAGAAGCTTTGGAAGCCGGTGCGCATATGGTCGGTGGCGATGAACTTATTGCTGAGGTTTGTTATTTCTTATGTTACAAAAATAATTGTATTCTAGGCATTTAAATTCTTGAATTTTACTCCAATTTATAGATAGCAAATGGTACTTTTAAATTTGAAGACATTAACAAATGCTTAGCAACCCCAGACATATTTCCAGAAGTGACTAAAATAGCGAGAATCCTGGGACCAAAGCATTTAATGCCAATGGCAAAGAGAGGTACTGTTACAAATGATATCGCTAGTGTAATCAAGGATTTGACAGGAAAACAGGAAATCAAGAGTGATAAGACGGGAGTTGTTCATCTTGGCAAGTTTTTCATATCATCATGTATTGCTGTATTGATTTTTTATGTATACTTTATATTAATTTTGATTTTTATTCTTTATAGGAATCGGAAAGGTGTGTAAAACAATTAAACAAAGATTTAATTTTATTTATTAAAATTAATTATTAATATTTAAAATCCATACCTATAATTGGAATAGCTTTTTTGGCCTATAGTGGATTTAAGAGGTTAGTATTTATTATTAAAATATGATATGGCAAACCTTTATGTTATTATACAAATTAAATTATTAATTTTAAAAACACAAACAGACAACATAAAAGTTATTTTACAAGAGATAAATAAGCTTGGTAAAGAACATTCATCTAAGTCGTCAAATAAAGGTTAGTCATTATAGTATTAATAAATAATTAATAGTTTAATTTTGGCTTTTATTAATAAGTGGTATTTTATAGATATTATAACAAATGTGGCTTTAAGTTCAACAAGAGGTCCCGGAATTTATTTACTTGATTATAAAATTTTAATTGAAAAAGTAAATGAAAAACTAATTTTGTGAAATTAACTTTATTATTAAAATAAAAATATATATTGTATAAAATTAATTTTGTGAAATTAATTTTATTAAAATAAAAATATATATACAGTATATTGTATAAAATTAATTATTTAGATAAATTTTTAAATAAATTTTTTTTTTTTGGTCTAATATACTGTATTAAATAAATAATATAATAATGCAAAAATATATAAATAAATTAAAAAGAAAGTTGTAATATAAACTTTTAGTTAGTATTATACAGTAATAAATAGTATATATATAGTTTACAATTAAAATAAGTTACTGTAATCTAATTAATATAAAAGTCATTTATTAACCATATAATAAAATATATACTTACAGCATTACAAAAAGTTTTACCTAAAAATAGTAAATACAGTATTTTATACAGTATTTTTTTAATTAAGTTTATAAAATGCACCTATGGTGTTCAACACCATAGATCACTATTTCTCAAAAACGTACTAAGTAAACGGGATCGGGTACTCTAAGTAAAAATGTTCAGGACCCCAAGAACTAAAATTGGGACCTTATATCTAATATATACTACAATATATATATAAAAAAAAAAAAAAAATTCATAAAATGCACTCTAACTTTAAATTTTATTAAAGACAATTATATATGGTGTTGAACACCATAGGTGCATTTTATAATAATTTTTTTTTAATAAATTTTTTTTAATTTTTTAATTTAAAATACATACAGTATAATTAATTTAAAAAACATATATTTTATTATTTACTGTACTGTATATTTCTAGTATTTTAATTTAATTTTTTAATTTAATTCATTTGTAAATAATATAAACTATACTGTATAAGAAATATATAAACCAAGTTATTATTAAATATTATTTTTCTTAAAAAAATTTGTTATTAAGTAACTAATCTACTTTTAATAAAGTTGTAAAGCTAAATTTTTTAATTCTAATACATAGTAGTAAAATTACTAAATATAAATATTTTAATTTTTACAACTAGATATATTTTTTTTATTTAAAAAAATATATAATTATAAAATTAAAATACTGTACTTATACAGTAATTTATAATTTATTAAGGACGTTCTCAAGCGCCTCAATTAATGAGTCAAAGTATGCTGAAAATTGGCAGGAATTAAATTTTATTAGCAGAAAATATTCTAAATCAATTATTGAGCTTATATTAAGATAAGTAAGTAATCTATTATATGTAGAAAATTTTTAAATAGTAAAAAAATAAATAGGGAGTTTACCATTTTCAGTCAAAAAACTTTTTACCTCAAACCACTTTTTTTTGTGCTGACTTATCAAAAATAAATACTGGTAAATTTCAAAGTGAAAAAGTATTGCTCAAGCGTTTTCATAGTTTTATTATGAATTTTCATTATCAACACACATTTTTGTAAAATTTTCAATACCATAAATTCTCAAAATAGAAAATCGCGCTTCCTAAAAATAGTATAGGTGGTTTCGAAATAACGCCTGAAATAGCGCGCACTTCAAAGAGCAAGTATCGGGTAAATATCAGAATACAAAACTCCCAATATGCACTTGAATTTTACCACTAGATATAGTGTATCGGTAGCATATCAGAAGGCTTGTATTGGATATTTACCTGATACATACTTATTCATTCAACCTGTTTATAACATTAGTAGCAATCGGATTCCAAAATTAATACTTTATCTCGAAGGGCGTATTCGAAATAACGCGCACGTAGTCAAAATGGCGCGCAGATGCCGAGAATTTATGGTAAACTACTTAGAATCCACTCAAGCAGTGATTGAAATCTTTATTTAAATCTATCGTTGCAATTAAGCATCATTACAATTATTAGAAAATCATAGCAACAGTAATGTTTGAGCATATCTCAATATTATTATTCGTATTATTGACTTTTAACCAAAATGTTATCAGTTATGACAATAGCCAAAATCACGTCATAATACTTGTGCACTATTTTGATCACTATGAAATCGCATCTAGGTTGATGCTCTAAGTTAATTTAATTTTACTACTGTACTATTAAAATTATAAAAATTAGGTTTATTACATTTGTAAAAGTAGATTAAAAATTTAACTAACAAAAAAATAGCTATAGTTTTTTATAATACTGTATAGTAATTTGCATTAAATTTTATAAAAATCTATTATTTATATTGTAGATAAATTACAATTACTATAAAAAGATTATAATTTGGTTTTAAAATATATAACTAGTTTTTAGTATATTTATTTTATATATTTATTTGATTTTTTCAGTTGGTTTTTATAATGAATTTACTAAAACGCACCTATGGTGTTTTACACCATAGGTCTCTATTTCTCAAAAACGTACTAAGTAAACGGGATC